CGAGGGCGCCTTAAGACAAGGGTGGGGTCTGCAGGATCCCAGGACCAGACAGAGGAGGCGGCCTTCCTGGGACTGGGGCCGCGGTTCTAGGTTCCATGGGCGGAAGAGGGCGAGAATCCACCTATCGGTGAGGACTTTAAAAAGCGCGGGGCGGGAGGAGTCAGAAAAAGGTTTAGAGCAGGAAAACTACGCGTTAGAAAGTGTATACATTGCCCTACAGCAGAAAGACGCGGGTCGGGACCAGCCTCAGGGCGACCTTAAACCCCAAAGGAAGCGACCCCCGGACGCTCACAGGGTCGTCTCGATTTGCTCTAGGTGAAGGAAGATGGCTGAAAATTTCCAGGTTTGTGGGGACCCCACACCCCAGGTACAGAAGCGCCAGGGACCTGGGAAGCGCAGACTTAATACAACACAGAAGGAAACTCACGCGCCGCGATGGGACCGTCACTCCACGCGATCCGCTTCCGGGTTTTCGCGAATCTGCGCGCAGGACAAAAGCCAGGCCTGGGTGGGACCCGCGAGGTGGGCGGGGCCTGGGCGAGGTAGGGGCGGGGCGCGAGGCGGAGAGATTTTGCCCTTTAGAACCGGCAGAGGGCGGGGCCGGGGCGGGACCTGTGAGTTCCTCACCCTCCCTCCGGCGCCTGTTTTAGGGTTTTGGAGTGGAGACCCGCCAGAAAGGCTGAGGCGTGATTCAAAAGCCCTGGAATTGTCTGGAATGGGCATGTAAACTAGAATGTGAAATGCAAAGCCCTGCCTGGGCCGAAGGTACAATTTCATGCTGACGGCCCACAGAACAGAATAGAAATTCTCTCCCTTTCTATTCTCCATTCACTGGGTGGGGGGAAAATCCACCCTGTGCTCAGCTTCAGAGACTTCCCTAAAGCCGCTGCCTGGGATGCGGGACGGAGAGTTCAGGCCGGCGAGGAGTGAGGTGACCACCTGCTGGATAAACAGAGCAGGGATGCTGGCTCGGGGGCGGGAGCCTGAGGACCCAGCTACTCAGCAAGCAGCAGCGGGAGGATTGCTGAGCCTGGGGTCCAGGCCAGCCTGGGCGACAAAGTAACACCCGCTCCCGCAGGGCTCCCTTCCTCCTCTCTCTCTCTCTTTTTTTTTTTTTTCCTTTTTTTTTTTAATAACAAAAATACAATTTTGATTGCGTGAGATAGGGATCCAACATTATTCTTTTCCATGTGGATATCCAGTTAGTTGTCTCAGCACATTTGTGGAAGAGATTTATTACTTTATTTATTTACTTATTTCTTTTGTTTTGAATGAGAGTATTTCTCTGTAGCCCAGGCTAGAGGGCAGTGAGGGGATCTCGGCTCACTGCAGCCTCTGCCTCCTAGTTTCAGGCGATTCCCCTGCCCCAGCTGCGGTGTACCTGCCATTACAGGCGCGTGCCACCATGCCCGGCTAATTTTTGTAGACGGGTTTCACCATGTTGGCCAGGCTGGTCTCAAACTCTTGACTTCAAGTGATCCGCCTGCCTCGGCCTCCCAAAGTGCTGGGATTACAGGTGTGAGCCACTGCGCCTGATCCAACAAATACCTTTTACTTCACTTTCTAATTGTTGAGAAAATATAATTGAAAACAAAACAAAACAAAATCTTCCCCCAAATGACAAAACATCTGCACGACGATAATAGAGAAAGAAATTTAAAAAGTTATTAATAAATAAGCCTTAGACCAGAATGTGATGGGAAATAGAAGCAAACAGCTGAGAGGTTGAAAAAAGAGAAAGAAACTTCACTGTTCTATACAACCCATTAAGTACATGTTTTCAAGATAAACACTAATCAGTCCTCAGGGAAGAGGACTTGACAACACCCTTGGTCACACATAGTTCATCCTGGCTCTACTGGGTAATGGAGGTGACCATTTCTGTCAGCTAATTAGCTTCATGCTGAGGAGGGGAAGAAACCCTAACCCATGTTTCTTTGACAAGTGTGAGTTTTACAACATGGAGACAGGTGCCATCTCTAGTGAGGCTCCTAAAATTCGACAGAAACTGATGTCAGCAGTAAATAATAAAATTTAGAATTTATGATTAAGTATACAACTTATGTGAACACAAAGCATGAGGATAGCCACCTGGAAACATCAACTCCTAACGAATGGGATCAGCGTTTCAAAGTGGAGACATTAAGGTTTCACACACAGGGAAAGACAGAAGCTTTAGCAGAAGCACCATATTTTCCATTCAAGACCAGTGCATAGGTTACAGCAAGTTGATTGGTGACGGATTGATACACTTCAAGGAAGGTTATTTTATCACTCCATAAGAAGGGACAATGATCCCAGGAGGTCTTATCTTTGGGGCTGTTTAGTCTTCCTAATTATTTACAGGAAAACTCTTTTCCTGTAAATAAGAGCAAGACTCACCCAGGTTGGGGTGCAGTGGGGCGATCTCGGCTCACTACAACCTCTACCTCTCAGATTCAAGCAGCTCCCCTGCCTCAGCCTCCCAAGTAGCTGGGATTACAGGTGCATGCCACCATTGTTTGTTTGTTTGAGACAGTCTCGCTCTGTTGCCTAGGCTGGAGTGCAGTGACACGATCTCAACTGCTTACTGCAACCTCCGCCTCCCGGGTTCAAGCGATTCTCCTGGCTTAGTCTCTCGAGTAGCTGGGAGCCTAGCTAACTTTTGTGTTTTTAGTACAGATGGGGTTTCACCATGTTGGGCAGGGTGGTGTCAAACTCCTGACCTTGTGATCCACTTGCTTCAGCCTTCCAAAGTGCTGGGATTACAGGTGTGAGCCACCACGCCTGGCCTTTTGTTTTGTATTTTTAGTAGAGAGGGGGTTTCACCATGTTGGCCAGGATGGTTTTGAACTCCTGACCTCACGTGATCTGGAGTACAATGGCGCCACCTCAGCTCACTGCAATGTCCGCCTCTGGGGTTCAAGTGATTGTCCAGCCTCAGCCTCCTGAGTAACTGCGATTACAGGCGTCCACCACCATACGCAGCTAATTTTTGTATTTTTAGTAGAGACGTGGTTTCACCATGTTAACCAGCCTGTTCTTGAACTCCTGAATACTGTTTCTGCTGTTAGGCGTCAGTCCTCTTCATTGCGGCACAAATAAGATTTTTTTTTTTTTTTTCTGTAAAACTGATATGGGGTGGGCGCAGTGGCACACTCCTGTAATCCCCGCACTTTGGGAGGCTGAGGCAGGCGGATCACGAGGTCAGGAGATCAAGACCAGCCTGGCCAATATGGTGAAACCCCGTCTCTCCTAAAAATACTGCAGACATGTCCCACCACTCCCAGCTAATTTTTGCATTTTTTGTAGATAAGGATGTTTCACCATGTTGCCCACGCTGGTCTTGACTACCTGGGCTCACGTGACCCACCTGTCTTGGCCTCTGAAAGTGCTGGGATTACAGGACTGGGCCACTGCATCTGGTCTCATTGTAAATTTGATGTTTCTTCTTGTTTCAATTTTAGCAGAATTTATATTGCTTGACAGAGTCTGTTTTCAAACTCACGTCTTATCCTTCTGAGTGCCTTAAACTAGAGCCTATTCTGACATAACAGATTTGTACCAGTTTATTTTGTTGCAAAAACTGTGAAATTTATGTAAAATTTTCTCATAAGACACATACTACGTATTTTTCCATGAACTTCTTGAAGACTTCTTGTACTAGAAAACTGTATTCAAGAGGCTATAAAAAGGATTGTAGATATTCAAGTGCCACTTATTTCTGGGATGCAAGGATGGTTCAACATATTCAAGCAAATCAATGTGAAATACGACTTGAACAGAACGAAAGATGAAAACCGCATCATCTCAATAGATGGAAAAAAAGCATTTCACAAAATTCAAAATCTAATAATCACAAAAATCCTAAACAAAATAGGTAGAGAAGGAAATTTACCTCAACAATAGAAAGACCATCCATGACATGACCAACGAGTAAATAACAAAGCTGGGAAAATGGAATGCTTTCCTGTTGGATCTCACATGATGCAAGAATGCACTCACCCCTTCTATTCAATAGATACTGGTTGTCCTAGCCAGAGCAATTAAGTAGTAAAAGAAATAAAACTCATCCAAATCAGAAATAAGTAAAATTATATTTGTTTGTAGATGACACGATCTTCTGTGTAGAAAATCACAGAGAGTCAATCAAAATACTACTGGAGCTAACAAACACATTCAATGTATCCGCACAATACAATATCAGCACCAAAAATTAGATGAATTTCCATACATTAACGATGAACAATTTTAAAAGAAAATTTAAAACACTTCCATTTGCTAGAGAACTTAAAGAAATAGGAATAACTGTAAAAAGGTGAGAAATCTGTACCTTGCAATCTAAAAACATACATCAAAATGATTAAAAACATATATATATAACCCATATTGCTGGTTTGGAAAAAGTAAGATTGTTAAATAATTATATAACCCAATGTGATTTAGATTCAACACAATACCCAGAAAAATCCCTATCAGTTTTCATTAAAGAAGCAAAAAACAGGCTGGGAAAATGGCTCCTGTCTGTTGGTCAGGCTGATCTCAAACTCCTGGCCTCAAGTGATGTACCCACCTTGGCCTACCAAACTGCTGGGATTACAGGCGTGAGCCACCACGCCCGGCCCAATCCTCTTAACATGAACACTTTAATGTCAATTAATGCTTGATGGTTTGCTATACTCATTGCACTTGGAACAATCACCTCAAAAATGAATTTTCTGATATTCTACAAGGAGTGAAATCAGACTGAAGACCTTACCACACTCATGACATTTGTAAGATTTCTGTCCAGTATGCATTCTCTGATGTCTAATGAGGTGTGAACATGAAGTAAAGGCTCTGCCACAATCATATCACTTGTGAGGTTTCTCTCCTGTACGAATTCTCCTGTTTTGCATAGGATGAAGCTTGACTGAAGACCTTGGCACAATCACATTTGTAAGGTTTCTCTCCAACATGAGTTTGCCAATGAACGGCAAAGTGTGAATGATGTCTGAAAAATTTCCCGCAATTATTACACATGTAAGATCTCCATTATGGATTCTCCAGTGATTTGCAATGGTTGTAGCGTTACTGAAGACTCTGTGACAATCATTACATTAGTGAAGTTTCTCTATACCATGGATTGCCTGATGAGGAATAAATGTTGACTGCCCACTAAAGGCTTTGCTACACTCATTACACTTGTTTCTCTCCAGTGTGAATTCTAGTATGTTGTGCCAGGTGTGAATCATGCCTGAAAGCCTTTTCACAAACTCTTACATTTGTAAGCTTTCTCTCCAGTATGAATTCTCCTGCCTTTTGAGGCTTGATTTGTGACTGTAAACTTTGTCACATGCTTCACATTTCTAAGGTATCTTTCCAGTATGAATTCTATGATGACGTGCAAGCTTTGCTTTTCTATTAAAAACCTTGCCACACTCATTACACTTGTAAGGTTTCTCTCCAGTGTGAATTCTATGATGACGTGCAAGGTGTGCTTGTTGATTAAAAACCTTGCCACATTTATTACACTTGTAAGGTTTCTCTCCAGTATGAAGCCTATGATGACGTGCAAGGTTTGCTTTTCGATTAAAAGCCTTGCCACATTCATTACACTTGTAAGGTTTCTCTCCAGTATGAATTGCCTTATGAATTACAAGGGCTGCATTTTGACAGAAGGTCTTGCCACACTCATTACACTTGTAAGGTTTCTCTCCAGTATGAATTGCCTTATGAATTACAAGGACTGAATTTCGACCAAATGTCTTGCCACACTCATTACACTTGTAACGTTTCTCTCCAGTATGAACTGCCTTATGAATTACAAGAGCTGAATTTCGACTAAACTTCTTGCCACATTCATTACACTTGTAAGGTTTCTCTCCAGTATGAAGTCTATGATGACGTGTAAGGTTTCCCTTTTTATTAAAAACCTTGCCACATTCATTACACTTGTACGATTTCTCTCCAGTATGAATTCTCCTATGACTTTCAAGGTTTGATTTGAATCTGAAAGCTTCATCACATTCTTCACATTTGTAAGGTTTCTCTCTAGTATGAGTTCGCCCATGAACTGCAAGGTATGAATGATGTCTGAAAAATTTGCCACATTTATTACACTTGTAAGATCTCTCTTCATTATGGATTCTCCAATGATTTGCAATGGTTGTAGCCTTACTGAAGACTTGGTGACAATCATTACATTTGTAAAGTTTCCCTAGACCATGGATTGCTTGATGGTAAATAAGTGCTGACTGCCCGCAAAAGGCTTTGCCACACTCTTTACACTTGTAAGGTTTCTCTCCAGTATGACGTCTACGATGGCATGTAAGGGTTAACTCCTTACTGAAGGTCTTGCCACATTCATTACACTTGTAGGGTTTCTCTCCAGTATGGAGTCTACGATGGCGTGTAAGGGATAAATGCTGACTGAAGGTCTTGCCACACTCATTACACTTGTAAGGTTTCTCTCCAGTATGAAGTCTATGATGGCGTGCAAGGTATGACTTCTGACTAAAGGTCTTGCCACATTCATTACACTTGTATGGTTTCTCTCCGGTGTGAATTCTCCTATGTCTTTCAAGGTTTGATTTGAAAGTGAAAGTTTCGTCACAATCTTCACATTTGTAAGGTTTCTCTCCACTATGAAGTCTACAATGGTATACAACGGATGACATATGACTGAAGGTCTTGCCACAATCATTACACTTGTAAGGTTTCTCTCCAGTATGAATTTTCCGATGTCTTTCAAGGTTTGATTTGAAACTGTAAGTTTTGTCACATTCTTCACATTTGTAAGGTTTCTCTCCACTATGAAGTCTACGATGGCATGTAAGGGTTAACTCCTGACTAAAGGTCTTGCCACACTCATTACATTTGTAAGGTTTCTCTCCAGTATGTAGTCTACGATGGCATGTGAGGGATGACGTCCGACTAAAGGTCTTCTCACACTCATTACACTTGTACGGTTTCTCTCCAGTATGAATTCTCCTATGTCTTTCAAGGTTTGATTTGAAACGGAAAGCTGTGTCACATTCTTCGCATTTGTAAGGTTTTTCTCCAGTATGAAGTCTACGATGGCATGTAAGGTATGACGTCTGACTGAAAGTCTTGCTACACTCATTACACTTGTAAGGTTTCTCACCAGTGTGACATCTACGATGGCATGCAAGATATTGCTTCCTATTAAAGACTTTGCCACATACATCACATTTATATTGTTTCTCTCCTAAATGGATTATCTGATGTTTCTTTAAGAGTGAGCTATAATTAAAGGCTTTGCCACTCTCATTACATTGGAAAGATTTTTCCCTCATGTGTACTTCCTGTTTCTGTGTGAGTAATGAAGAATTCCGGAAATTATTCCTATAGTTATTAGAGATATGAGTTTGGGGTCTACAAGAAATTCGTTGGGCTGTTGAAACTGAGGAAGCATCATTGATAGACTTTTCAACTTGATTATCAATTTTCTCTTCCATCTGAAATACCTGCAGTTCAGGCAGATGTGAATGAAAGCTTGATCCAAGCTGATCTTTAATAGGCTTGTTTCCAGCATGCCTTTGATCATATCGGTCTGTACTACCCGTCAACTTTTTTATTTTTGTCATGGGTGCTTCATGGACAGTTCTTTCATCTTCTTGCCACTGAAACTCAAAGTTATGAATATCTTTACTAATTTCCTGGAAGCAAAAATCTCCAATGTGATGTCTTTCCAATGTCCTTGTGTGGATCACTTCTGTATTGCCTTGCACTGTTGATGAGAAATCCTTCATCATGCATTTGGAAGAGATAGCTACAAAATATAAACACCAATAGGTTTCCAATTAAGTACAGACGGTAAATCATACTGAAATGTGTAAATATGACACACAAAAAAATACTTATTTTAAACTTCCCAAACAAGATCTTCAAAGTTAGGAACACAAAAGCGTAAGATTCTTTAATAAATAAAGGGTGATTATATGTGCTTCAAATTATTTTTACGGAAGTGTATTTCCAATATCATAACAAAACACTGACAGGGCACAAACATGTGTAAGCCTAAAGTAAGGAGTATTTTTCCACTGTGACCCTAAAGTGTCCAACAGTTTGCAACAAACATATCACTGTCACATCAATGAAAAGTACATATTCTTCATATTTACAGCATATTTACTGTATACAAATAAATGCTAAAGGATCACACAATATACTATATTCATAAATAATCCACAACAAGCTCATGTAAGAATAATCAAAATCAATGGAAATTCTGTATTGTCAAACAATCATAGCACTGAGAAGATAAGAAAAGATTACAAAATTTAGCCAGGCGTGGTGGCCCACAGCTGTAGTCTCAGCTGCTAGGGAGGCTGAGGCACAAGAATCGTTTGAACCCAAGAGGTAGAGGTAGCAGTGAGCCGAGATTGCACCACTGTACTTCAGCCTGGGCGACAAAGTGAGGCTCCATCTCAAAAAAAAAAAAAAGTTAATACAATGTTTTTCTGAATAACTGTCATAAAATTACCTATATCCATGCAGAAAAAGCAAGTTGTGACATTAAGAAAAAAAATTTAGTATTTTTAGTATTTTTATATTTTTGAGGTGAAGTCTCGCTCTGTCGCAACAGGCTGGAGTGCAATGGCCCGATCTTGGCTCACGGCAACCTCCGCCTTTTGGGTTCAAGCCATTCTCCTGCCTCAGCCTCCTGAGTACCTGGGATTACAGGCACACACCACCATGCTTGGCTAATTTTTCAATTTTTAGTAGAGATAAAGTTTCAACATGTTGGCCAGGCTGGCCTTGAACTTTTGACCTTAAGTGCTCCACCTGCCTCAGCCTCCCAAAAGTCCTGGGATTGCAGGCGTAAGCCACAGTGCCTGGTGGCACTTTGTGACATTAACTAGTAGACTCATGTCAGTTATATTGCATACCACATACCAAAAAGCCTAATGTACAATCATAAAAATTAGTAAAATATTGTAACCCATAAAACTAGCAAGCAAATAACAGGTACATTTATACAACCTGCAGAATTCTAAACAATTCCCTGTTAAGAAAAAAGCCACAGCTTCTACTTACCACCAGCACACAATATATGAACTGAAATACCTGTTAAGATCACTACCTTCTGATTTATGAGGTCAAAAAAATACACAGCATTATAAGGAATAAGAAGTGACTAACGGCCTGTAATCCCAGCACTTTTAGAGGCGGGTGGATCATGAGGCCAGAGTTCAAGAGTAGCCTGGCCAACATTGTAAAACCCCAACTCTACTAAAAATACAAAAAAATTAGCTGGCCGTGGTGGCGGGCACCTGTAATCCCAGCTACTCAAAAGGCTGAGGCAGGAGAATCGTTTGAACCCGGGAGGCGGAGGTTGTAGTGAGCCGAGATCGAGCCATTGCACTCCAGCCTGGGCGACTTCGTCTCAAAAAAAAAAAAAAAAAAAAAATTGACTAACAGTATCGGAGGGTGCAATTATGATGTCACACCTACATTTATGGAACAGGCAATACAGCAATTCTATATATGCATTTCCCTTAGTTACCTAGTTCACGATGCATAAAATATAAAACATAGAATGTGTACTGGGAAAATATATAAACTGAGATCAGAGAAAACATTGTATAAAACAAATTGCACAATAAAAAAAAATATATGATGCAGGCTCCCTGGTCTGAATGTTCATATTGACCAAAAGCCATGTTCGGATTTCTTATTCTCCAATAGGATGTTCTTGCAGATGGGGCCTTTGAGAGAATTTGGTCATGGATGTTGACTACTCATGAATAGGATTCGTGCTTTTATAAAAAGAGACAGTAAAGAGCTCACTGCCTGTTCCTCTTTCCACCGTGTCAGAATACAGCAGGAAGATTGCTGGGCTAAACCATGAAGAAGGCTCTCATGAGGAACCAATTTGGCTGGCATCTTGCTCTTGGATTTCCCACTTTCCAAATTCATAAGAAATAAATTTCTGTGTCTGAAGCCTCCCAGTTTAAGCTATTTCGTTTTTTGTTTGTTTTTGAGACTGAGTCACGCCTATCACTCAGCCTGGAGTGTAGTGGCACAATTCTCCTGCCTCAAGAGATTCTCCCGCCTCAGCCCAGAGTCTCACTTTGTCGCCCAGACTGGAGTGCAGTGGGACATTTTGGCTCACTACAGCCTCCACCTCCTGGGTTCAAGTGATTGTCCTGCCTCAGCCTCTTGATTACTTGGGATAACAGCTGTGCGCCACCATGCCCAACTAATTTTTGTACTTTCAGTAGAGACAGAGTTTCGCTATGTTAGCCAGGCTGGTTTTGAACTCCTGACCTCAGCTGATTTGCCTGCCTCGGCCTCCCAAAGTGCTGGGATTACAGACTTGAGCCCCTGGGGCACAAGAATCATTTGAGCCTGAGAGGCGTAGCTGGCTGCGGTGAGCCAAGATCGCACCACTGCACTGTAGCCTGGACAACAGAGTGAGACTCCATCATAAAAAACAAAACAAAACAAAAGTAATTAAGAAGGGAGTCAAAGTATGTCTACACAAAAAACCTATTAAACACAAAAAGTAGGAAATGAGAAATGAAGAAGAAAAAAAAACCTACAAGAAGTACAGATAATATGTAACAAAAACGCAACGGTAAGGTCTTTTCCATCAGTAATGCTTCTAATGTAAATATTTAACTCTGCACTCAGAAGGTAAAGACTGGCTGAATCAACAGGAACCAATTACGTGTTGTCCACAGAAAACTCATATTAGCTGTAAAGACACACATATGCAAAAATTAAAAAAATAAAAGCCAATAGTTAGGTATGGGGATTGGGGCCTGTAAGCCCAGCTACTTGGGAGACCATGGAGGATGTCTTGAGCCCAGGAGATCAAGACCAACTTCAACAACATGGGAAGAATCTGTCTCTAAAAAAAAATAAAACTAAAAAAGTAGCCCGGCATGGTGGCATGCACCTGTACCAGCTACTGGGGGAGGCTGAGGTGGGACAATCACTTGAGCCCAGGAATTCAAGATTGCAGCGAGCCCTGATCCCACCATTGCACTCCACCCT